ACTACCACTGCATCAATAAGGACAGTAGCTCGCACACAGTAGCTCAACAAAACATGAAGATCGTGGCCATAGGTCCAAGGTGTCCACAAAGCTGTCCCTTCACCCAGCACAACAATTGTTGCGGTGAGGATGCATCAGGTGCTGCTGTGCAGGTCTTAGTACATGTGCATGACACCTTCACTTAATGCTATCAATGCCACTGTAGCAAGCTACATTTCCCTTAGAATATTTCAACGATTACTTTTAACAATAATTGTTAATTCGTTCATGATTCGACTCAAGTTTTGTACATGTTACGAGCCACGTCACATGCATCGAACATGACAGTTGTTCGTAAGCAAACCTAACGGGCTGGGGCCCTGGGCCCCACCAACATTATCCTAGTACGGCAAGACCGTGGTAGGGAATCTCCGGCAGGTAGGCCGAGATATAAGCTACCCGGGCGGGGTGCTCTGGCCAGACACTGACGTATCACATCTACTAGGTGTTCGGAGTTCAAGACTCCACTGCCGCCGTCTCTGATTGTTTCATACATGTCTATGTACGCTAGTGCTTGCCGCTGGGTTGGACTTATTCCTACTCCGGCGAGGACAGCCAACACCACGCTTCCGCTTATCCAGTCGACCCGCCAGGTGAGCAACTGCTACAGCCACGCAGAATATACAACCGGGTGTTGGCTGACCGCTCATGCTTTTTGGGGTCGGGCGGCCAGGCAGCCTCTCGCTCCTCACAGGCCTTCCTCTTCTTCGTTCCTGCCCGCACCTTAAACTTGTTGTAGATGCTAGGATCCACCACAAAGTAAAGGCTGGGTTGGCGGCCCTCCTGGCCCGGAGCAGAGATGCCGAGTCGCTTGAACACGTCTTCGAGGTCATCAGCATTAATTTCCTTCATAGCCGACACAGTCATCTGGAAAAGGTACATTGCCAGCACCATAAGAGCATCAATGACGGGGAAGTTGGAGGACTTGGGCCTCAAGTATGTGTCCATCTTAGTGCTCATCATACCATGGACCTCATTGTCTGTGAAGATGTTATACTGCTTGCATTCCGGGATATCCAGCTTCTCCTCCTTGCCCCGCTCCAGAGTCTTCGGGTCCAATGGCAACACATCGAACTTGCCGCCAGTCGCCAGTGCAGCATGCATGACTGCCTCAAAGAGGTAGCCCTTTAACACCTTCGCTGCCATTTAGCAGAGATATCAAT